ATATAAATAGAACACGATACAAATAAAAACTTTAACCTCTAAATCAAGGAAATTAGATTAAATTTAATCTTTAAATGTATACTCTTCATTGCATGATTTTAAATATAAAATTGAACTCAAATTGACTTCAATGAATTAAATAAACTTATTTGAATTATTTTGTTTTTTGTTGAATATTTATATGTTAAATGTTTATGAGAGAGGAATTGCATGTTTGTCATTAAAGTTAAAAAGTACGTATATATTAGTGATTTTTATGTGTAAAAAAAATTGACAGAGGGGAAAAAGTGAGTAATAAAAAGATCTAATATTTTTTTACAGTAAAAAACTGATAATGAATTTAGTAGTTGTTTTGCACTAGTTTTAATTTCAGCACAAGTCTGAGAAGAGCAATTTTATTAGAATGTACACTAAAAATATTGGATATTTTTATTTCGATTTTTTGCAACTTTAATATTTTCCGAACACTTTGTTAGAAATATAGTTGAACAATTGCAAAATTCAAAATCTATTGCGACATTTAATAATAATTTCATAATAATTTCATAATAATTTCATAATAATTTCATAATAATTTCATAATAATTTCATAATAATTTCATAATAATTACCTCCTCTCTCAACTTTTTAATTTCAACTGTAAGTTCTTCACAATGTCTTGTATACTGCCACTTTGCTGTTTTCTCGCTCTCTACAACCTAAATATTCAGTAACAGCTGTTGAATAGACTGTTAGAGCTTTTTAGTTTTAAATGTTAAAGGGACTGTTAGAGCTTTTTAGTTTTAAATGTTAAAGGGACTGTTAGAGCGTTTTTTAGTTTTAAGTGTTAAAGGGACTGTCAGCGATTTTTTCACTTCTTAACAATTAATGTGTTATAATAATGACTTATTTAAATTTAATTTTTTAGGCCTTTCTGCAGTACCTAAGTTTTAAATGAGTGAAAATAAAACAGCAAAATTTTTGATCGTTTTACAGGATTTTTTATTGTCATTCAAAATTATAAGAACTAACCAGTGACACTGCCAGTAACCTTTTTCTTTCTAATCTCTATCTTTGAATGTAAACATTTGATCTGACATAACAAAGTTTGAAAGTATTTACTGCATCAGGTTGCAAAGATATAGGAAATAGAAAATTTTACAATTATTTAGTTCTTATACGTTTGATGTTGATTTTATTTACCTGTAGAAGATGAAGATGTTTCTGTTCTAATTCCTCTTTTTGCAACAGCAGCTTGTTAAAACTAAACAAAAAATAGAAGTTAAAGGGACTGTACGCGTATTTTTCCGTGACCCTTCCATACAAAGATGGCTATGACCTATTCACGACGGTACCCTTAAAAGCTTTGTCTGATCAAGTATGAATTAGATATCAGTTTGTATCAAATCTAAATTACAAATCTTTGGAGACAGTACGGTTAGATATTAAAAGTACTAGAATAGTTAGAATGGAAACTTATTTAATTTAAACTTTAAACCTCTAAGATTTATAAAACGATGATAACGAGAAAAACTTTATCTAAATTGCAGTTTTAATGATAAAAAAACTCTGCAGCATGGTGGTTGGTCAGCCATAGGAAAGTTAAAATACTCAAATAATAATTCTAAATGATATTTTTTAACCGTAACATCTTAGGAATATGTAATATATATTGTTTTGATATAACGTCAGTCCCGTAAAAATAGATTCGATGTCGTATATATCAATACAACGATGTAGTTAAATTCATCGTCGTATATATCAATACAACGATGTAGTTAAATTCATCGTCGTATATATAAATACAACGATGTAGTTAAATTCATCGTCGTATATATCAATACAACGATGTAGTTAAATTCATCGTCGTATATATCAATACAACGATGTAGTTAAATACATCGTCGTATATATCAATACAACGATGTAGTAAAATTCATCGTCGTATATATCAATACAACGATGTAGTTAAATTCATCGTCGTATATTTCAATACAACGATGTAGTTAAATTCATCGTCGTATATATCAATACAACGATGTAGTTAAATTCATCGTCGTATCTTTCAATACAACGATGGCGACTTTTGATTTCAATTTTCATTTTTCTACCACCTCGCTTTCAAAACCATGGATACCATAGATAAATAAATAAACATAGATAGCTTATGTACGAAAAATCACCAAGAATTTTACAGTCCGCGAACTCATACTTCTAGGGGTCAAAGTGTACTTCAATGATAAGCGGGGTGGTTTGGGGTGTGTAAAATAACTCCGGGAATGGAACTATTTGAACAAAAATATTTCACTGAGCAGTATATCATATTGACCAGAACTGAAGAAGGACATGAGAAGGACTAAACTAACATAAATTTCTCTCTACAGAACTTATGTACACCACAAGTACTCAATGACATAAGAACGGCCAATGTTTACAACCTACCTAGTTAATCTGTATAATAGGAATATCTTTAAAACATCTCTGTACATTTCTATCTTTTAAGATGAAAAATGTCCTTGTTTACACCAAAATTTTGTAATTTGAAAAATCTTTCTGAAATCAAAACTTACAACGAAAAGTCAATTAAAAGTGTATTGATATAATCAATTGATATAAAATCCGACAACAGCACTGTATATAGAACATGAGTATATGAATATTATAACAAATGTTAAAAGTCAATGCTTTAAACCATTTATAATTGCTTTTTACATATATAATTGAGAAGTATAGTAACTAGTGTCAAATATTAATGCTATTTCATCAATAGTAGAGTTTTCAAGGTATCTGTTATAATTGATATAAAAGAAAATATACAAAACTGTTTTATAAGCCTCTCCCCCCCCCCCTTAGCTTTCTTAAAAGTGAAGACAATTTTTTAACATATTTAATTCTCACAATTATACGCAATTTTTTTAACCTTCAAAATTATTCATAAAATACTCGGTTTTCCCAATTCCCAACTATTTCTAAGTTTTCCGCTAAGTTCATAATCTTTGGTTGGGGGGGGGGGGGGTTATTATAACTAGCTTTCGTACAAATATAAACCCCGATTGCATGATCTACTTAATAAGCCTCATGATAGGACTAATTTATTTTTATTTACAGTTAATATATCCAAAATATAAAAAAGAAAATAAGTTTAACAGCACCTACAAGATACACTTATAAGGGATATTCACACTTTGGAAGTTAGCTTATGATTATGAAAATAATGGTAATAGAACAATAGAAACATGGAACCAAAGAACCATAGAAACATGGAACCATAGAACCATAGAACTTAAGAAACATACATTTATATGACTACAAAACCATAGAACTATAGAACCATGGGCGGCATAGAACTAAAGAACCATATACCTTTAGAACTTTACAATCATAGGACAATAAACCAAAGAATCATAGAACTAAAGTATAGAACCATGGAACCATAGAACCATGAAACCATAGACCCCAAGAACCATAGAACCTTATAACAATAGAACCAAGAACCATAGAACCATGGAACCATAGAACCATAGAATCATAGAACCATAAGCCCATAGAGCCATAGAACCAGAGTACCAGAGAACCGTAAAACCACCCACTGAGCTATAGAACCATAAGTTCAAAGATCCTGGGAACCATAGAATCATAGAATCATAGAACCATCGACCCATAGAACCATAGAACCAGGGTACCATAGAACCATTTAACTAAAGAACCATAGAACCAGAGAACTAAAGAACCATTGAACTATAGAACCATAGAACCATTGAACTATAGAACCATAGGCTCAAAGAACCATGGAACCATAGAATAATAGCATCATAGAACCAGAGAACCAGAGTACCATGGAACCATTAAACTATAGAACCATAGGATCAAAGAACCATGGAACCATAGAATCATAGAATCATAGAACCATCGACCCATAGAACCATAGACCCATAGAACCATAGAGCCATTTAACTACAGAACTATAGGCTCAAAGAACCAGGGAACCATAGATTTATAGAACAAGAGAACCATAAAATCATGGCATCATAGAACCATAGACCCTTAGAACCATAGAACCAGAGAACCATTGAACTATAAAACCATAGGCTCAAAGAACCATGGAACCATAGAATCATAGAATCATAGAACCATAGATCCATCGAACTATATATCATATAATCATAGAACTATAGAACCATAGGTCCATGAATTTTTAGTTCTAGTGTTTCATCTTAAATATTAAAAAAGATTGCTGTGTAGATCGTAAAAGCTTACAAAGGGATTTTGAATGCTCTTTTGTTATAATTTTCAGATAATTTTCAAAAGCTGACTAAACCATTTGAAAAATAAAATAAAAACTAGATAGATTATATATTTTCTCAAAAAGGCTGAAAAGTCAAAAATAAAAAGATAAAAATTTAAAAAAAAAACTAGGTTTAAGGAAATCTGTACATGATTCAATTATTTTGTAACTTAATTCGAAATGATTTCAAGTTAACCTTATTTTTAAGAGTTTCACCCCCCGATTCACAGGGTTACCCTTCAAACCTTTCTCTCAGCAAACTAATAGATATTTCTGATTTTTTGGCGAATATTTGCAACAGACAATTAAAACAAAATGTATTCTTTTTTTTGGACTTGGATTCTAATTTATTTTAAGAACTATGACATATATAACGAAAAATATTGTTTTTTAATTTCAGACAAAAAAACAATTTTAAAAAATGTATTCTTTTTTTTAGGAATTGGCAAGGTTATAATGCAAGGAAAGTTAATTGAAGTTGCGTATACTCTACGTACATATTGAAACCAGTTCTCTCTGGGCGGAATTTATCCGAGTCGGATTCTATTTGGTCTAAACCGAATATATTATTAATACATATAATCAATTTGGTCTAAACCGAATATATTATTAATAGATATAATCTATTTGGTCTAAACCGAATATATTATCAATAGATATAATCTATTTGGTCTAAACCGAATATATTATCAATAAATATAATCTATTTGGTCTGAATGAGCTGAACAATTGTGAAGAGAGAACTGTGTAATTAGAGCATTAGTTTTGTTTACATTTCAAAAAATTCCAAAAGAGAGAAATTAAACTAATAATTCATAAGTCAACTGGAACTAAATAAAATATTTAAAAATATCCATTTTCTTAAATTGTTTTCTCGGAAAAAATATTAAGATAATGGTTTTCTTTCTCATTAGTTTTTCAGTGAACCATTTTCCAGAACTAGGACAGGAAATCTTCTAATCTTGTAAAATCATTTCAGTACAGCTTTCATCGTGAATTTTAAAGGGTTTCTTCTGATAAATGGAATTACTTATTTTTGATTTTTGATTTTCTCTTTTCTTGCATATGTTTTCTGTCAGCGACAAAATAATAAAAAAGCAAATAAAATACTAGCCATCAATAGGGACAGTGTCAATTATTTTGACCTACCTCGCCATTTTAATAGCATCAATCCAAGCTTTGCATTCAGATACAGTATCCGCTCTAAGCTCGTACTGGCGCTGATTCTCTCGCCGGTACATAATCCCAAAGCAGTACTAAATAATAAACCGTACAGTACAGTACAGCACAGTACAGTAAGTACAGTACATTACATTACGGCACTGTACAGTACGATACAGTTCAGTACGGTAAAGTATAGGACGGTAGAGTACAGTAAGAACCAGTACATTACAGTACAGTACAGTACAGTACAGTACAGTAAATTACGGTACAGTACAGTACAGTACAATACGGTACAGTACATTACGGTACAATACAGTACGGTACAGTACACTACGGTACAGTACAGTACGGTACAGTACAGTACAGTACAGTACGGTACAGTAAAGTACTGTACAGTACATTACGGTACAGTACAGTAGGGTACAGTACAGTAGGGTACAGTACAGTAGGGTACAGTACAGTACGGTATAATATAGTACGGTACAGTACGGTACAGTACAGTACGGTACATTACAGTACGGTACATTACAGTACAGTACAGTACGGTACAGTACAGTACGGTACAGTACAGTACGGTACAGTACAGTACGGTACAGTACTGTACGGTACAGTACAGTACAGTACGGTACATTATAGTACGGTACAGTACAGTACAGTACGGCACATTACAGTAAATATAAAAAAAACAAGTTATGAGACGACCTATTGTAAATTGTAGGTTGGGGGGATATGGTTCATGTTGATTTTTCTGTGACGTATTAGGATCCCTTAGGAACTGGTTTAAGGTAAATAAACAACATTGCAGTAAACAATTTAGGCCGTCTTACCCTGCCTGACCTTTGTTTACAAGCTTTGTTCTCATAAAACTAGTTTCCAGCAGTCCTATATCCTAATACAAGACAGCCATATATGTACACAAACCGTTACCTCCTTACCTTTAGCACAATCTAGAATAACAATATGCAAAAGTACATGTATCTGGGCGTATGCAGGATTTTTAAACGGGAAGAGCGGCTAAAAATTTGCCACAATATAGTCTCAATAGCACATATGAGATGAATCTTTGAAAGATAGTCCCAGGAGAAACAGTATCTGGGAAAACCTGGAAAAAAGTCCCGATTTACTGAAGTCCTAGGACAAGTTGTTTGTGTAAATAAAGTCCCGGGTTTTAGATGTCTAGGACTTTTTTTCCTAAAATGACATGGGGGCTGCAAATAAAAGTAAAGTAAATAAGATCACAGGAATTAAAGTCCTGATGAAAAAAGTCCTTGGAAAATGAGGTCAAATCTGAGAAGTTTTCATAAAAAGGACTTTTTTATGCATCTGTGTATTAAATATAGCCAGGGGTGTTTTTAATATCAAGCCCCTTTTTTGCATGATTGTAAACATCATTTGTTCCCATGCATTTTCCACAATAATAGGACTTTTTTCCTGAGACTTTTTTGCGTGAAATACTGGAACCAGAAAAAATCCTTGAAAATAAAGTCTCAAAATGGTAGGACTTTATTTCCACAGATTTTTCATTTCAAGGACTTTTTTCCACAGGACTATTTAAGCACCAAAATTCAGGACTTTATTTCCGAAAACTTTTTTTGAGGGTTCCCATATTGGATGTATCACTTATGATTTTGATACCATTTTTTCGTCTTCCTTGCCACTCTTAAGTCCGTTTGAATGCTGGTTTCCAGGAGTTATCAAACGCTCACAGTAGCAGCCCTGTAAAAAGTAGATAAAAATATTTAGCATTTTAGAAGTACCATTTCTATCATTATTATTAATGATTAGTTCCTCTCGTGGTATTGTTTCAGATTATGAGTGGTTCGTATTTTTTTAGAATGATTGTTCGTGGATTTCTAACTTTATGAGAAAGCAATTTTGACTCCGTTAATATTATACAATACATCTTTATATATATAAATTAGTAATATCTGTTTTGGTGTTTGTTTGTCTCTTTGTATGTCTAATGAAAAAGCATTAATCCCTTGATCAATTTGTCTCAAATTGGATAGAAGAATCTACAGTCACGGTTTAAAGATTCCAAGTTGAGAGGATTAACGTACATAGAAGAAAGTTTAGTTCAGAAGCTAGAAATTTCAATTGGCACTGGTTTATTTAGAGAGTCTATAGAAGGGGCGTATTAAGGATTGTCGAGGGGGCTCAGCATCTGTTTAGATTCAAAAACCCACTCAAAACCATAGATTTCACAGACCCAAGGAGGGGGGGGGGGCTGAGCCCCTCTAACCCCCCCCCCCCCCAATAACGCCTTATGCCAAGAAAATAATAGAAATGCCTCTTACCTCCAAAAAGATTACTCCGGTGGGTTTAGAACACTGCTCACTATCGTAGTAGAAGAGTAAATTCTAAACAATATTTAATTCTTCAAAATATCTCATGATTGTTCATTTTGTTCAAAATCCTCTATCATTGGTAGAAATGAGCAGGCAATACTGAGAGTTGGTGGTGAAATTTGAATCATGGTTTCTAGTTGAACTAAAACAAAATTCGAGATTTCTTAGAAATGTTCTCTTCTCTTTTTTCATTAGTTTATAACTTTACGAAAGGTTCAAGTAGAATCTTGAACTTGAGCGCAAAATAATCTAAAATTTAATTTGAACATTTTACACAAATAAATTTGTCCTCAAGATGAAGAAAGTGAAGTGCCTGGGCCCGAGTTTTTTTATGTTGAATATGAACCATCATAGGTTGTGAATCGATTAGTATTACATTTTTGTTACAAACTATTTGATCAGACATGTCCCCCACCGGTTTTCAGTTTTTCCTCCTGATATTTATAGAAAAAACACGGTTTCGAAAACTGGATACGATCACAGTTTCGCTAAATCTAAAATCAACAATTTCTAAAATTGTATTTTCTGTAATCCCCCCTGCAGCCGAGTAAACATTGAACTAAATCTAGGAAAATAAAAGTGTTAAACACTCTACTCATAAACTCAAAAAGTGCTGGAGCTGGACACTCTATTTATAAACTCAATAAGTGCTGAACACTCTTCTTATAAACTTAAAAAAATGCTGTTGCAGTCAAATTATGAACATAAAAAGTGCTGCTTCACTGCATTAATACGCAGAAAATACTATTTCAGACGGTTTTTGAACTCAAAATTTTTCAATTAAAACATAAAAATATTAATTTAAAAGCTGCTATTGCGGCACTCTTTTTTTAAAAAAATCCCTAGAATTATTGACACTCCACTTTTAAAATAAAAAAGTGAAGGTCACTCATTGCATAAATCCAAAAAAGAACTCGACACTCCATGTTTAATTAAAAACCACTTTACTTTCACTTTTAAATCCGAATAAAACTAGATTCTAAAACGTAAAGACATTATTCAGAAATCTCATAAAAAGCTTTTCAATAGAAATGAATAAAAAGCAAGAAGAATTATTTTCATCTTTTTGACGTCGGAGTTTTTTTCTGAGTGTAGACTAGAAGGTGTAAAACAAGGTTTAGAGACTGTGATGCGCTCCAATGTTCGGGAAATGTCGTCTTCATAGCAATGGACACTCAAAATCCTCAAATTACGTAACTAATTATTGGGCATTTGCCATTTTCTGTTGTGCGCATATGCGTCGTAAAATTCCAAAACAGAGAGAGGGGGATTGAATTTTGTAGATCCAGACAATAATATCTGAGGGATGCCTGCGTATCGACTGGCAGCTGGTGGGGTCTTAAAAATGCAAGACATGTGGCCGCAGCGCTCGGCCCAGAAATTGTCATAACTTAACCTAACCCGTAGCCGCAGTGCTCGGCCCCCTAGCCTTTCCTAACCGCAGCGCTCGGCCCAGAAAGTGTCTTAACCTAACTTAACCCTAAATAAATAGTAATTTAATTATTTTTCTGGATCTACAAAATTCAATCCCCCTCTCTCTGTTTTGGAATTTACGGGGCATGTGCGCACAACAGAAAATCGCAAATCCCTAATTATTGGCGGAAGAAGATAGTGACAAAGTTCCTGATGAGAAGGGGAAGGATTTTCTTCCCTTGACAGGTGTAAAAAGCTATAAAGATGACATTTCCCGTAGATTGAAGAGCATTCAGAGCATCTAACCTTAATAAACAACCTTGGTCCAATGTGCTAAAGAGAGGTGTAGGTTTTGTATCGCATCGTACTCTGACGTGTTAGTAAACGGCTGTTCAGTTTTGTAATCAAACAACAGTAACTACCACTCTGCCCGACTTGACCTTAAATCCTGTTTAGAAATTACATAGTCTTGGTTCAAACTAGTTACTGAGCTGTCCTAATACAAAGTGTTGTTCCAAATCATATTGGTTTATCTCCAAGATTTAACGCTGAAATATAATACTCGAAAAACCAAGTATTATCTGCTTGCAGATTTTTATATTAGGCATTAAACAATTTTTTTTAATTTATTCATTCTTTTTAAATTTTCTGATTAGTCCTGTAATTCACAGTTTAGAGCCTCCGAAAATCACAATTTAGAGCCATGAAAGATCCGAAATGATGTGGGATACCCTGTAGGTCTCAGTTAAGGATTAGCACAGTTAGATTTATCAACAATGTGCAACCCAATTCATATATGTAGGTATGTTCAAACTGTGTTTGTTACAATAGTTTACCTGGTACAACCTGAACCATCGAAGCAGCCATTTATTAGAGTCGGAACATCTCTTGTACAAATGCCCAGCCAGTACACAGTCATAACTGTACAGTGTACATAATTTTACAAAAATACTGAAGTATGTGTGTTTGGTGTCATAGGCACTTAACTAAGGAGACAATTTATTATGCGGAAAATGTGCAATATTCTAATAGGAGGTCATCTCGAAAACAAGTATTTCCTTGTGAAATAACTTTTTGATTTTGTAACTTCCCAAATGTGCAATTTTTGTAGGGGGAAATCTCCCAATTGTCAATTTCGGAAGCTGTAACTCTTCAAATTGTAATCTTCCTATGAGGTGACTTCAAAATATGCAAAGGAATGGAGTTTTTGCCACAAACTTAAATTTTCGAATTCCAATATCTTAACGACCCGATGTTGTACACATTTGATATTTCAAACTTAGATAAGTTAAGCTAACATAATTCTAGTTTGAAATATCTAAGGTCTACGGCATTTGGTTGGGACAATACAAGGACTAGAAAATTAGAGTTTGTTGCAAAGACTCAATTCCTTTCTTAAGAGGCAGCCATCAAAATATGTAAGTAATTTCCAAACTGAGCACTGTTTCCAGAGACAGTTTCAAATGCTGAATTTCTCTTAAGGTTTTAACTTTAATAATTTGTTTTAATTAAATTTTACAATATTTCTAAATATTTTACATGATATCAGATGGAAATATTTTGAGATTTCTATATTTCTTGTTCTTCATTTTCTTCTTGTTACGGAGAATTAAGGAAACCAATAACTGCACCCCTAATGAAAAATGGGCCTAAAGCCCCATTGAGAGGAATCTTCCACAGCAGTCCAGTCCTCACAGCTGGTCGAGTAAAAAATCGGTATTGCTGGCATGGCTTGTATATCCATTAGAGATTAAACTCCTTCTTTCAGTTACACCAGACTGAAGATGAAGTTTTGTTTTTATTCTAAGTACATTCCTTACTTCCCCTGTAGGATACCAGATGCGCAACTAAATACAGCGCTCCACCAACTGTAAATCTGGGACTGCTATAAGAGAGTTCCGTTCTCTTCTCTGGGCGGTAGGCAACTCAATTTCTCTTCAGGCAAATTTCCAAAAGGTAACTTTCAAAATGTACAATTTCCCAAGAGAAAGCTTCAAAAATAGACAATTTCCAAAGAACATACTTCCCAATGTGAAATTTCCCAAGAGGTAGCTTCCCAAATACAAATTTCCCAACTGGTTCCCCTCTCCAGGTATAGTTTTATACTTACAGTGGTTGTGAGTACCTCGCTTTCTCAGCTAGACCCAGGAGCTGACCTTCGTTAATCCGGACAGATCTTTGTATCCTCTGCATCTTAGGACTCAACATTCTAGAATACAAACTATATAGTATAGAGTAGAACTCCCATCTTTGTATCCTCTGCATCTCAGGTAGGGTTGTTAATCGTTTTTGTAAACGATCGTTAAACGATCGATAAACGATCGTTAAACGATCGATAAACGATCGTTTTGTGTTTCGTTTTCAAAAACGATCGTTTCATTTTCGGAAAAAAACGATCGTTTTTAAAAACGACCCACTCGTTTTGAACTTTTAGAAAACGAATAGCGATCGTTTTTGAAAACGATCATTTTTATTAAAATGATTTGCGACCGTTTTTATACGATTGTTTCTCAAAAAACGATCGTTTTTGAAAAAACGATCGTTTTGGAAAAAAAATTATTGACAATTATTTTAACGATCGTTAACGAAGGGTTGTCGTTAACGATCGTTAAGGAAACGACGAAATTTATCAAAACGGTCCTTTTTGGAAAAAAATTACATGCAAATTTATTGAATGTCGTCTTACATGAAGTTTAACAGTTGTGGGAGAGTTAAAACTCCTTGATATTTTCTTAAAAACTACTCAATGATATGTACAGATGCCCTTCAGGTCGGTTTCCTCTCTTCGTTAACGATCGTTAACGAAGGGGTCGTCGTTAACGATCGTTAACGAAGGGTTGTCGTTAACGATCGTTAACGAAGGGTCGTCATTAACGATCGTTAACGAAGGTCCGTCGTTAACGATCGTTAACGAAGGGTCGTCGTAAACGATCGTTAACGAAACGACAAATTTTATAAAAACGATCATTTTTAAAGACGACCATTTTTTAAAAACGAACTTTTTAAAAAAACGATCGTTTTTAAAAACGATCGTTTCGTTTTCGATTTTTCGTCGTCGTTTTCATAACGAAACGATCGTTTTTCTGAAAAATGAAAACGTTAACATCCCTAATCTCAGGGCTCAACATCCTAGAATACAAACTATATAGTATAGAGTAGAACTCCCATCTTTGGATCCTCTGCATCTCAGGACTCAACATCCTAGAATACAAACTATATAGTATAGAGTAGAACTCCCATCTTTGGATCCTCTGCATCTCAGAGCCCGAAATTTAAAAGAGTATTGTTGAACGACTCCCAAGTTTCCTTTTTGGGGTCTTAACTTTTGTGTAGATTTTGATTTAAGAGGTTCTAAAAAAATGAAAAATATGAAGAAACTCAATAAAATAATATTTCATAACAAAAATATTGATATCCACAAAACTGCCTAACCCCATTCATGAAACCCGGGTTTTAAAACTGGTTTTCATAACGATACCCTGTCTTAAGCTTTGGGCTCAGGGCTCAACATCCTAGAATACAAACTATATAGTATTTAGTAGAACTCCCATCTTTGGATCCTCTGCATCCTAGGACTCAACATCCTAGAATACAAACTATATAGTATAGAGTAGAACTCCCATCTTTGGATCCTCTGCATCTTAGGACTCAACATCCTAGAATACAAACTATATAGTATTTAGTAGAACTCCCATCTTTGAGTTCGATATAGCGAAAACTCAGATAGAACGAAAACCTCTCCGGAAATATTCTCATAAAGCTTTGTTATGATGCCATAAAACTATTAAAAAAAACTGTTTTAACTTCCTATTCTAAAATTTAATACACATTTTTATTAGAAATCATATCATTAGTTAAAATGATTAGTTGTGAGATTTCCATAGAAATGTATTGGAATCTTATAAAACTTTGTTAGATACCTTGAAAACTGTGTGAGAATCTCATATAGCAAACGTTGGATTGAAAGTTTCTAAATGTCTATCAAAATGATACACTAAAATCAGGATGGTACGAATTTTTGGGATTACAAAAAAAAGAATTTAAAATAGCTGAACCAACCAAGGAAGGTAAATATTAAAACGCAAAAGGATTCCGATTAAAAAATGTTTGAAATCCGTAAAGAAAACAGAAAAATATGCGTAGTTTTTAGGTTTTTAACTTCAAAATATATCAAGATAATTATGGGTGCAAAGCGCCTTGAAAACTTAGAAATTTTTCTGACCGAGGTTTCCTTAAAGTTAATTGCACAATTGAATATATTGAATTCTTACATGCTTTCAATCATTACTCCTCTCATTGAAGAGCTATTGGATTTGTTTTAAAAACCTGAATTTCTCATACAGGGTGTCCCAATGAACATGGGAATTGAAAGCTGTCTTTGATTTCTGATATTTAATGCATGGCAAGAAAGTAAATAACGAGGATGTACGTCTGACGAGCTTTACACACTGATCTTCCTTTCTTATAACTTAAATATTGACAAAGATATTAGATATTAAGACAATTTGATTTATTGAATAAATTGAAATTTGTATAAAGGAATTGAGTCTTTGCCACAAACTCTGCTTTTCTAAACCCTATATCTTTGAATTTCAATGTCGTAGACCTTAGATATTTCAAACTATGAATTCTGTTAGATCAAATATAAGTTTGAAATATCAAAGATTTGCGACATCGGGTTCCAAAGATAGAGGGATTATAAATTCAGAGTTTGTGGCAAATATCTCCGTCAATTTTGGAGATGCAAAAATGTTAGACCACATTTTGAAAATCTCAAGATTGTATTCGATATTTACAGTTTAAGCTTGAATACTGCAATAATTGTGTTCATGAAAAAATACCGCATGGATCGAAGACTAAATAAAAGTCGTCACTGAATTTGTATGTTTAATGGGACACCCTGTATGTATAATGTAATCGTAAAAATTTACGCGGTCACATTTCACAAAGTCGTAGCATCAATTTCGCTTAAATATTACTATCTCTTTCTGCTTATACAGGGTGTCCCAATAAACATGGGAATTATGTGACGAATTCGACATCGTCGTTTCAAATAATTCTTTGATTTAGTATTGTGATACCTACTGAGAAAGCTGTAATCTGTAAGAGTTTCGTCTGCTATGTTCACATTTTGTGTGTCTATGTTTTGACTGCATACGGTTGTACTTCTTAAAACAGGAAAATTGCAGTATACAAACAGAGTAAACTTGTCCGTCTTCACTGTTTATCTTGCGGAGACATTATAGACACATCTTTACAGTCTTTTACCCTTTTCATAAAATTAACTCTAGCAGACATAATAATATTATGGCTTTTGAAATTAGGTATTACAAGGCTAATTCATTACAAAGACGATATCGAATTCGTCTCTGAATTCCCATGTTTTTGGTACACCCTGTAGTTTCCAATTTTCGTTTATTTAAACACAATATTTTCCTAATTAATCTACGAGGGTGGTAACATATTTTGTGTTTAATGGTTACTAATCCGTGCAAATAATAAATTAACTTGACATTAAGCCTGTTTGTTTTTACTTAATTTGAGAAATAGGCAGGGTCATAGGCAGAGAAGAGGCTATATAGAGGCTAAGCTACCCCCCCCNCCCCCCCCCCTGCACTGGAGTGTTAACAAAAGTTAGATAAAAAGATTGTGGATATAAAATGTTTACATTCTCTTGTGACGTATTAAAACAGCCTTGTAACTAGTTTTATCGTAAACATGTGTAATGCAAACATTTAGTATACAACGTACAGGGGCGTGCGAGGGCTTTTGTTTAGGGGGGGACACAATTTGAAAAAATATTAATACCTTTTTTAAATTTTTTTGCCCCCCCTTTCCCACCTGGACTTATTTTGTTCACCATAAAAATACGCCAAAAAGACTACATTTATAGAGCCTAAAAATTATTTTTGCTTGAAAAACTAACTTTTTGACTTTATAAATTTATCACTTAACTCCATCACAGCTAACTAAATCAATAATCACAGCATCATTAAAAATTATATTTTTACGAATAAACGAAATTTCTTCTGAAATTTTTAGATAGAATTTACTCAACCTACATTTTAACCAAATCTTTTAAGCTACAATTTTCTTGGATTTGCTTGCACAAACATTTCAATGATTTTTTTCAGTAGAGAGCTCAGACAGCCTTATAGAGTGTAAAGCTATAAGTGCAAGATCGTTAAGTCTGCTCTCCGTCATAGTACATTTTGTGTAAAGAAGTATTCTCTTTAGAAGGCTAAAACTTTTCTCTCCTTGTATTAACAGTGAATTTAGACAAATCCTTAGTCTTTGTCATTGTCAGGTGTTACTTTCTAAACGTAGTTTCCTTTTAATTTTGTATTTTTGGAACTCCCAGGGGGGGCAAGAGAACTACTGCCCCCCTAGGTACACCACTGTGCCTGACCTGAGGAAGGGAAATGCAAGCAGATGTAATATTAAAAGAGCCTCCCCCATGGATGCCCCCCCTCAGCCTCTCAGGGGGGGCACGCGTAGAGGGGGGCGGGGGGGCGCGGCCCCCCCTCGTACGCCCCTGACAACGTATGCTCTGCAGTCTGCATTGTTTACAATTTTTGTTATTGTTTAGAATGAAACCATTTCCATGCCTGTTCTAATACGTTATACGTTGGTAAAATGTAAACAAACCTTTCTCATACTGTCAACTCCAAATTTAATATAGATACAAATTCCAGTCACAGGAAAAGGAAAAATCATCGCTTTTGATCACTACTAATCTTTTCATATTCGCGAACACTCCCTTTAAATGCCGTACTTTTTATGAATTATCTAAATATAGCCAATCATTAGGCGAAACTGATCCCATATCTGTACTAGGATATGGCAGGGCCGGTAGGAATATTTAATAGAGCATTCTAATTCCCTGAATTGGACTCTCATTGGCAAAGACTAACCTGTTGGCACCCCGGCCTGCAATATTCATATTGATCTGCAGTGTTTACAAGCTTATGACCTGCAAAATAAAATATTTAGATTTTTGAGTTTTTTCTTTTTGAGCTTTTTTTAATGCCAATGAGTTTTTGGATGGCTTCTGGTACTTATTCAAAGATCTTTTCTTAGAAAATCATGTGCATATACTAATATTCTTCCATTAAAAATACCCGGTTTTATTTCCAATTACTTTTTATTTAAAGGGACTGTAAAGGAAAACTGAAAGGGGGTTACGTGATACAGACACGTGAAAAATAATACTGCACTTCCATTGGTTGGAATTCTGGTAACATGATCTGGACGTATAAATAATATTATCAATTATAATTATGAATATTGAGAAATTTTTAAATATAAATAATAGTAGGAGCAAACTTGAGTTTCTCAGGCTTCTCTGGGATATCGTCGTTTTCAGATTGGTTGCGTATTTATTGAACATGATCTGTTTAATACTACGAATCTTATACAAAATCTTACATAAATAGGCCTAAATCAAATCCTGAGATTCTCAGGTTTTAGCTATACCCCCTTTCATTTTTCCCTTTAAGTAGTTCAAAACTACAAAAATCTCACATATCAGTCGCCCAAAATATATTAGACCATCTTTTTTTGAAAACATTTGTGTTTTTCTGACAATAATTCTGTGTAAAATATAAGAAATGTCAAAAATAAAATCATGTTTTTTTCTAATCTCTTAATTGAAATACAAAATATCGTATTTGTTGTGCATATAGATTAAATTTATTCTAGTTTTTCGCGAATTGCCATATTTTCTGATATTTGGTTTATATTGTATCTGCACATAACAAATATGATCTGTGGTCTATGCATGTTAAATTAATTTTAATTAATTTTAGTCAAGGTTATAAAACGTTAAACATATGTTGGTAATTAAGAATTAAGGCAGAAAGGTAAAAAAGTGTCAATGATCGAATGTATAGGGCCGGGGTCGCAATGTGGAAAGGGGGTCAATAATTTCATATGTATATTTGATATTTCAAACTTAGATTATTTGGTCTAACATAATTTAAAGTTTGAAATATCTAAGGCCTGATATTGGGTTCCAAAGATACTAGAATTAGAAAATCAAAGTTTGTGACTAAAACTTTTTTCCTTTTCCTTTGTATGACAATGTAGTTTTCATGTTGTAATGAAAGGGAATATAAGTGAGGAAGGAAAGAAGGAAGGAAGGAAGGAAGGGAAAAAATAGGGAAACAGAGAGAAAAGGAGGAATGGTTAAGATAGGATTAAAGAATGGGGGAGGGGGGGAAGATTAAAGAATGGGGGGGGGGACGATTGAAAGGACTTCGTAATTTGAAGTATTTCGCCACTTTTATGAGAAACTACAATTGAAAATGACAAAGGAAAAATTTAAATTTCAAACTTACAACTTTAAAGTAGAATAAGAAGATTAAAAAATAATTATAAACTAAGGACCTCTAAACACTTTTTAAACACTCCCCCCACTGCACCTTGTTCTGTGATTTAAAGTATACCTGGAGACTTTTATCTCTGCAGGTTCAGGATAAATTTTGGTTTTTTCTCATGCTTTCTGGAAATATACAAATATAGATAAATAGATAAATAGATCGATACACAGACGCAAAGACAAAATGACTAAAGGACTGATAAACTGGAAAAATAAAGACTTGGAAGACTGAATAACGTAAAGACTGAAAGACTGGCAAGATTCACAGTAAAAGAAAGACATAAGGACATAAAGAAAGAGAGACGGAAGGACAGAAAGACAGAAAGATATAAGACAAACAGACAAAAAGAAAAAGAAATAGATACAAATATATAGATATAAATATATATAAATAAATGTAAATAAATATTTAGATAAATAAATAGATAAATAGATGAATAGTTATATCCAATGTTTGTGAACACAAAAGAAGTAATTTCTTTTTCTATTTTTTTCATTCCCATTTTTAAGGCTTAAAATATTTTAAAACAGAGTTAAAAAGTTAAAAGACGAGGATTAAAATATAGAAAATATATAAAACCAAAATTAAACTTCACTGTGTGTTTTGGAAAACTTTTAAACCAGAAAATGTTTAAGATTTCTTTTATTTTAGTTTCTCGAAGGATCGGGGAGTTAATCAGAATATAAAGAGAGCCCCACTAAACATGGTTATCAAGAAACGATTTTTAATTGACTGTAAGCGTAATTTTAATTGACCCTCCTTGCAAAGATACCAATTAACATCCTCCATTTGAGCAAAAATGCGCAAGTCACTTTTGCAGAGAACCCCACAAATGAAAACAAACAGTTTAAAGAAACAAAAACATGCATATCAATTCATACTTGATCAATCAAAGCCTTTGAGGGTTCGCATGTCATCTTTCCATGGAGGGTCACTTGAAATTACGCTTGCAGTCCCTTTAAGCTTTGATCTTCAGTAGATATCACTTAAATACAAAATGTGTGCGAACAAATAATTTTACTTTTATGATTTTGAATAGTCCAATAAACGTGAAACACAGCAACTGTTAAATGTAAACAGACCTATTTCATTTAATAAGTTGAATTTAAAGGGACATGTGAACTGTTTGCTTTAAACCAACGTCAAAAAAGATTTCCTAATCCAATTATGGGTTTAACTGTAGTTAAGATTGATATCACGACCTTATATTATTATATCAGAAATATATCCTTGACGTAAATCATGTGATATATTATTAATATTAACATATTATAACGTTCATATAAAAACCATTAGCATGTATACAATAAATAAGAAAACCGTTTGACTTCATAATACAACACTAGCGATTAGAGCTGGGCAACTTTTTCTAGCCGTTTCGTTAACAGTTAGTTACAGGCAGACGTTAGAAGATGTTCTACAGCCGTTAAGGTTATTTTTGCAGTTAACAGCAATAGCTGTTCAGAAATTGCGCGAAGCGAAAAAAACCGGTTTTCAAATCGTTGCAACGATGCAAGCTGTCAACGGTTGTGTTTGTAGTATTAACGGTTAATACGTTAAAATTTCCATTAAAAAAGTCGTTAACAGTTTCTTAAATTGTGTTTAGCCGTCACCAAATGGCAAAAAAATCTTTAAAAGTTCCATCATATAAGTATGGGCGAGGGGGGGGGACTAAAGATGACATCTAAAACATCAAAATATATTTTAAAATTTTTTTTTGCAAGTCCCATACAATTTTAGCCGAAAAAAGGTTGCCGTGTGTTTCGTTTTCATTTTCAACTATTACTTTTTTCAAAAACGGCTAATCCGTTTCGTTAACGATTTTAAAATTAACGATTTTTGCCGTTCGTGAAATTAATTTTCGTAAACCTTGGTTTCGTTAACGGAACTTTGCCCAAAGATGATCTTTCAGTTCTATCTTCACTGTCATGTTTACAGGGACACCCTGTATAAAAATGATATTATATGCGATTTTTAAACTAATTTGATTGTTTATCAAGATTAAAGGAAATTTTACAGATGTTAAATTGATATTTAAAATTCAAGAAATATTTGATAAATCCCGGGACATACATTATTCATTACAATATTCAATACAATATTCATTACAATATTCATTATAATATTCATTACAATATTCATTACAATATTCATTACAAGGGAGAATACAGCGTTACGTAGTTACTCACGCTGTTTACCATCGCTTGGCCGTAAATTACAATTTTACATATTTAAAACTTAGAATCTCAAAACCAAGCTAAGAACATTCCCGTGGTTCTTTCGAGTTCCTCCATCAAAATCGGTCAAGTGTTTCATATACAGGTTTTATTAGTAAATAAAGTGGGTCTGTTTACACTGCACTTCAATGAACTTTTAACGTCATACTTTCAGTCTAAATGTCGTCTTCCTATTCCAGTGTTTTCTGGTTCTCACTGTAAAAAAATGCTGAAAATAAGTTTTATTTCTTTTAATTATTATATTTTATTAGAAACCAGATATTCTCCGAATCTGATTATGCTGATACAGGATATAGTTTTCTTAATATCAGTTTTCTTGTTCACATAGGTCTTAGGATATTTTAGATTTTTCTTTTCGTATCGGGCAGAAAATTAAAGGAAATGTTAACTTTAGCATTAAGGAATTGAGTCTTTAACACAAACTCTGATGTTCCAATTCCTTTATCGTCGCATTGCAACCTAATGTAATAGACCTTAAATATTTTAAACGATGAATTCTGTTATATTAAATAATCTAAGTCTGAAATATGAATTAGGGATTAGAAAATTTAAGTTTGTGACTAAAACTCTATTCCTCTGGCTTGTCTGTTTGTATCCAACAAACGTCTAAACTGCTGAACCAATCGGACCTAACCTTTTTGGAAACTCACATAGCCCTCGGGGGGAAAAAATGGCGACAATCATTATTTTTAAAATCCACCAATTTAAACAGAAAAAATGGCGATTTTAAGAGCAAAATTTAAACGAGCTTAAATACTGAAAACTCACAACAAATTATAATTTTCAAATATCTGTGAAAACTGATGGCGTAAACCTTTTTCATTTTAAACTATTATTTAATCTTACATAAGTAATAGTAAAAGTATCCAAAGTGGACTCTTCATTTCGAACATGTTCTAAAAAGATGTAAATTCTAAAAAAATCGACTTTCCTAAAATTCTAAATCTATCTTCTATCTATATTTTCCTTGTTTGTCTTTCTGGGTGTCTGTTTGTTTGTTTTTTATTTGTGTCCAATAAACGTCAAAACGGCTTCACCGATCAGGCCCAAATTTTGTGTGGGACCTCGCGTAACCCTAGGGAAGGTTATGGATGATCGAAATTTAAAAAATTTGTTTCTAACAAAATTCGCTTTTTGAAAATTTTGAAAATCCACAAATTTTCTTAATAAAATTCGCGAATTTTTTCCTTTTTTTACGATGTATTTACAGCGAAAATGTTCACAAATGAAATAGAAGATGGGCGCGCCCTTTATGACTAATATATCTATAATTATATAAAGTCCAACTAAAGCTAAATCAATATTCAATTCAAATGTTTTTTATTTCTTCCAAATGCAAATATATTTTTATTAATATATGTATATATTATAAATCTTTAAATATATATTTCTAAAGTTTATACTTATCCAACTAAATCAATTTATAACCTGTTCAGGCGTGAAATTAACATTAATAAAACCCAATTTAAATATTTCAGAAAAGATAAAACTTCTAGATTTTAACAGGTTAAAGGAATTCTCGACGTACTTTTTGATTAAAAAATTGCATTCCCCATCCATACAACAGTCCCCTTGAAACATTTTTTCGTCAATAATTAGGTCGTTTTTGCCGTGTTTCCAGCTGGAAAACTGATTAATTCTTAAAATGTCCTTCATTGTTTCTTTGGCATATTCGCAAGTCACTCTTATGGAAAAACTGAGAATCAGTTTAAAGATATAACATCTTGAATATGTTATCTGAGTTAAAACAATGAAGAAATTCTATAAAAATTCATAATTCCATTTGTTGCTGCTGTGAAAACCTTGTAATAAACAATAACAACGATATTTTGCTGATAACCCAATTCTTTTTTTAAATACTTTATTTTAAGCATTTTTAATTATATCCATCAAAATGTTTAAGTAGGTAAAATTCTTCCTAAACTTTGTTAAATTTTCTGTGCTATCCAACTATTTTGAATTTAATAGACACAAAAAATATAAATATTTAAACAAAGGAATTGAGTCTTTGTCACAAACTCTTATTTTCTAATCCCTACATCTTTGCTACCAAGGAATGAATGCTGTTAGATCAAATAATCTAAGTTTGAAATATCAAAGGCTTTATGCATTTGGCACAATGCATATGTACAAAATAGAATACGTAAAAGCGTTACAAAAATAAATCTTAAGAAACCCTAAAATAGATACATTACAATGTTACAAAGATAAACTTAGAAAACTCTGAAATAAATACATTAAAACGTTACAAAGTTAAACTTTGAAAACCCTGTAATAGTTACGTTAAAACGTAACAAAGATAAACTGTGCGAAACCCTAAAATAGAAACGTTAAAAAGTTACACAGATAAACTGTAAGAAACCTTGATATAAATACGGTAAAACGTTACAAAGATAAACTGTAAGAAACCCTAAAAATAAATACGGTAAAACGTTACAAAGATAAACTGTAAGAAACCCTGAAATAAATACGGTAAAATGTTTAAAAGATAAACTTTTGAAAACCCTGAAATAGATACGTTGAACCATTGCAAATATAAACTGTAGAAAACCCTAAATAGTTACATTGAAATCATACAAAGATAAACTGCAGAAAACTCTGAAATAAATACTTGAAGATGTTAAAAAGATAGACTGTAGAAAACCTTAAATAGATAAATTAAAATGTTACAAAGATGAACCGTAGAAAACCCTGAAATAAAAACGTGTAAACGGTACAAAGGTAAACTGTTGAAAACCCTGAAATAGATACGTTAAAATGTTTAAAAGATAAACTCTGAAATAGATACTTGAAGATGTTAAAAAGATAAACTGTAGAAAACCTTAAATAGATACATTAAAATGTTACAAAGATGAACCGTAGAAAACCCTGAAATA